CATCTCCCTGTATGCCCTCATCATAGCATGAATACGTTGTGGCAGCTCCGCTCCGCACGTGTGCACAGTGTTGATGTGTGGTCCTAAGTATCTAGCCGACTGCACCGTGCGTCCTGGAAGTGCATGTTGTTTCGTGCGTAACTGTCTGTACTGCGCCGTCGTGCCCCTACCCTGCAGTCTGACAAGGTTCTCTTGTTTGTCGCGGTTCTGAGCCAGGCCGAACTGCTGAAGTCTCTCGTCGAGCATGTCATCAGCCAGTCTGGCTTGTTGGGAAAGGTCCGCTGCAGCCTGATCCGAGGTGCTGACCAGTAGTTTCTGCAAATCATCCGCGTATTTGAAGAGACCTAAGTACTGTGATTGTTCGAAGAACGGGCAGCGTGCAATGAGCAGGCGATCCTCTGGCAGGTTCTCGAGGCATGCTATTTTCCACTGCTCGACGGGGGGGGGCTAACAGGGCAACAGAATTGTAAACCATGAGCGGATCTCCGATGAGGCCCCCACATCCTGGTCGTATCATTGTCGGCTCCTCCTGATCCCTGCATGGCACTGTGAACGCGCACTGTCTGTACCTCTGCTCCCCGACCTCCCGCAACTCCTGCGGTAGCAGTGTCTGTGTAGCAGCATCCATTCCCGTCCAGTGTCCACTCGCAAAGGCGTTCGTCATGTCCTTCATCACTACTGAGTAGGACGCCCCTGCCCTGGAGAGCCTGTCCTGGGTGACCGAGCTGGCTAGTACTGCTCCCTCCCGTCTCCGTCCCTTCGCAAAGCCGTAGTCCTCATCCCTCCAAGGTCGTCCTGCTCCTCTCTCTAGTTGGGCGGCGTAGTAGCATTTGCCTAAGGGGTCCAGGACGTGGTAGACTCTCTTGCCTTGGGGTCCGAGCTTCCCGTTCTTTCTGACAGCTGTGGCCTCACTGATGTGCCAACTAACTGGGGTCTTCTTTTGGACACGGATCTGTCGGAAGGCTTGTTCGAGTTGGATTCTGAAATTCCTGGGAAAGACCTTGCCCTTCTCCGTGCCCACGCCAGCTCTGTCCTGGACCTCAGGAGGTCTAGTGAGCAACATGCGCCACGCCTCTGCTGGGGCCGAGCCCAGGGGGTGTGCCCTACGGAGCCCCGAACGATACAACTTGCGTGCCGCACGTTTCATGTCGTCCTTGGCGCCGTCTATGGCCTCGTTCAGGGCTGCAAAGTCTAGGGGGTAGGTGGTGTTCCTCGACTCCTCAAGCATCTCCTCCCTCGTAGTGGGTGCCGCCTCCATACCTCCCTGTCCTCCTGGCAATCTCCAGAACTCCTCCCACTCCTGTCTGGTCGGCATGCTCGTCCTCACACTGCGGTAGATGCGGCGTCGTGGTCCCAACTGTGTACCCGCGAGTAACCGACTGAGACGTCCCACCTCTGCTATATCCCTGCGCCTCCATGCTTCCCACAGCTCCTCCACCCTCTCTGCTCCTATCCTCTGCTGCGCCTCTCTCCTCATCCTCGCACACTTCTTGGTCAGGGCTTTGAGGCGGGATGCTACATTGATCATCTGTTGTTCCGTGCCCTCTCCCTGGAGCTCCCGAAGGTCCCGTCGCCTGGTGAGGAGTGCCTGGCGGTCCTGCTGGAGTCGGTGATACGTGTCGTCCCGCGCAGTATCCTTACAGAAGTGTTTCTCGGCCAATCTGCAGACAATCTCAGAGAGGGCTCCAATGGTGTCGTTGCTATCTCCCTGCCTCCTGATCTCGTCCAGCTCCTCCTCTCTCCTGGCTACCTCCTCCTCCACCTCCTTAATAAAGTCGGTCCTACCCACATTTCGGCGCACCCCTTCTACCAGAGCCTGTCGGTTCCACCTGGGTCGTTGTCTGACTTTCGAGTAGTAGTGCCGATGATTCATGGCCACTGTGACGTGGGTGGGTATGTGATCTCGGAGTCCGCGACTGCATATGACCTGGAGTCGTCGTCCCATACGGCTGAGTGGTCCCATCGTTGTAGTCCGTTCACGCCACTCCTGTGGGATCAGTATGTAGTCGATCAGAGAGGCATGGGTCTCCGTGAAGTAGGTAGGTCGCCATTTATCTTGTGTGCCCACTGCAAATAAGTGATGTCGTTCGGCCAGCTCGCGGACGCGTTGGCCCGCGCCTCCAGGTAGGCGCTCCGGGGCCCCTCCAGGGCCGACCGCCCAGCTGTGCCTTGGTTCACCCTTGGGGGTCTGTCCTAGGCCGTCATTGAGGTCACCTCCGATCACGATTGAAGTATTCGTGCCACAGCTCGTGACCTGTTGGTCGATCCAGTCAGTCAGGGCAGTCACAATACGCATGTACTGTTGGCGTTCCCGTGCGGTACGTGGTTGTGGAGGATAGTAGACACATATATATTTGGTCCGTTGTTTACCCAGGGATAGTGTAACTGCTACTCCTCTACCGTGTAGTTCCGATGGTGGTTCTGCCGTGTCTAGTAACTGCGCATGTTTCCATTTACCCCGCCAGAGGATCATACACCCCGTAGACTTATTGCTGTAGGCAGCCCCCTCTCTCCATCCTCCCTCGACAAACCTGCACCCCCCTTCCCCTTCGCTGGCTATGTAGCCCATCTCCATGGACTCACCTGGGCGCCGGCGTCTCCCCGTCCCCGCCAGCCCCACTACGTCGAAGTTCCTCGCCTCTGTGCATATCTCCTGTAGTCGGTCCGCTGCACAGTGCATGGGGTTGTAATACAGCGCTGCGAGAGAGGTAGCCATCGCCCCGAGCCGCCCCCTGAAGTAAGGTTCTAGGGGCATGTATGTGTGAGCAGGGGAGGGGTAAGTGTCCTCCTACAGTCCTGCAGCCACCCTGGGGATCACCGCTTGACCTCGCGGTGGCTTAGGAGGAGGAAGAGGAGGAGGAGGAGGAGGAGGAGGAGGAGGAGGAGGAGGAGGAGGAGGAGGAGGAGGAGGAGGAGGAGGAGAGAGAGGAGGAGGAGGAGGAGGAGGAGGAGGAGGAGGAGGAAGAGCAGGAGGAGGAGGGAGCGGAGGTGGAGGACGAGGAGCGTTGCCGAGCGCGGAACCGCTGCTGGAGCCCGCGCGCCAGGTGGCGCTGCCTCTCGGCCAGCTCGTCGTGGACCCCGTGCCGCCTCGCTTGTAAGGAACTGGGCGGGATGCATAGCCAGCAACGTCAAGCCTGTTCGGAAACCAGGAGACCGCCACGCTGTTGTACGGTGCCTGTTTTTTGTGTGCGGAGTCGGAGCTGGAAGTGTGGCAGGAGTTGGAGTCGGGGCTGGTTGCGTCGTGGCCCTGGGGCGGCTGGCCGTCGTGGTCATGCCGCGCAGGGTCGTCATGCCGCTGGTACTGGAGCTGCTCTTCGAGCTCGTGGTGGTCGGGAATATCCGGAGCTGCTGGCGGTCGTGGTCGTGTTGCTCAGCGAGGTCGTGCCGCGGTACTGACTCCAGAGCAATTGTCGGTAATTCAGGCCTCGCTCGTAGGGCGCTCCACGTCGGCATTGGAGTCTCTGCAGTCCCGCGCCTCCACTGAGCATCCAGCTGGAAGCTCCGAGTACCACTTAGAGAACCGATCGAACAACTCTCCTCGGTGGCTGTCGGGTGCTTGGACAGGGAAGGGGGAAAATTCAGCGCTCGAATGTCCCAGTGGAGGGGGCTGGGCACCCAGATGCCACACTGGCGGAAGCGCTTCAACGCCTTGCACATGGTGCCACGTCGCATGAGCTCAAGCATGCGGATGTGGGCGGTGAATGTCCTGTCCCCCAGCAAGGGGAATGTCCTGGTCGGCTGCGACCGCGCTCTTGACGTCGGTGTCCTCCTGCTGGAGCCGGCGTACAGTAGGCGCCCGACCACAAGAAACCCTCCACAAGAAACCCAAAATCCTGAGACCCCAGGACGTCCATTGATTCTTCGTGTGGGAACGTCGCGCTTGCCACAGCAAAATCATCGAAAACCCAAAAAACCCAGGGCACCCTGGAGGCAAGCAGGATGTTTCTCTCAGCATGGGCCTCCACTGTATGAGCTCCTCCGCGGCGTCCATGGAGGGCGCATGCACCACGCAGCGCCCATGGCGGACTGCCCCACGGCGCATGCACCACCCGGCACCCGTGGGGCAGGGCCGCGGGTGGGCGCCGCGGCGGCCCGCTGGGGCAGGGAGGGCGCGGGGCTCCGCGCCCGGGGCTCGCCCCCGCCGGCGCGGCCGCTCCGCGCCCTGCTCCGCCGCCAATGCCGCGCGGGTGCAGCTCGCAGAAACAGCGGCGGCGCCGGCGACTTGCCGTCGCTCGGACGTCCATCTTTCGTGCATTTTTCGGTTTCGTGCGTTTTTTTTTTTTTTGTTTTTTGCTCGATGGTCCAGGATGGTCCTCGATGGCTCTCGCCGGGGAAAAATGCACACGTCCGAGCGATGCCCAGGCGAGGGCGCAGACTGGTGCCGCGCTGCGGCAGCGGGCGGCGAGGCTGGGCTGGCGAGGGCGCAGGCCGCCGCCGCGCTGCGGCCGCGGGCGGCGAGGCCGGGCTGAGCGCGGGCGGCGCGGCACTGCCGGACAGGGGAAGGGCGCGCGGGGTCGGGCGCGCGCCGGGGGGGCCGAGGGACGGCGTCTGCGCCGAGGCGGCGCGCTGGAGACTGGAAGGCCGGATGCGGGCAGAGCGGGCCGGCTGGCGCGGAGGATCGAGCTGCTCTACCGAGTCCTGCCGGTGGTGTACGTCCTCCCATTCGCGACTAAAAGGCCCTGGCCGGCGCACCCCCTCCCCTCGGGAGCGGCCGCCTTTCGCGTGTCGCTCCCTGGGGGACCATCCCGTTTGAGGGAAGGTGAGGGTGTGCGCCAGCTCCCGATCATTGTGCTCGGGGCGGCGCTCGGGAAGACCCGCGTCCGCCAGACGAGGAGGATGAGGAGGATGAGGAGGAGGAAGAGGAGGAGGAGGAGGAGGAGGAGGAGGAGGAGGAGGAGGAGGACGTAGACGATGAAGAAGGACGTCAGGAGAAGGCGGCGAAGGACGACGAAAGGAGAAGGCGGACGACGAGAAACAAAAGGAGTACAAGGGGGGCCCGCCTGCTCCTCCGCCGCGAACTGCTCCTGCAGCTCTCGGGCTATCCTGGCCGGTTTCACCCCCCCCCTTGCCCCACCCACCGGCCACGCGGCGCGCCTTGCCGCGGGCTCGCGCGCGGACGTCCGCGTAAGACAACGCCAGGAGGAGTCTGAAGCGAGAAGCCTGGAGGTCCCTGAGAGCCTGACAGCTGGCGGGCCTGGATGACGCATCGGGCACCGCGGTCGTTCCAGCGGGAGCGTTCCAGAACGCTCTGGAGGCGTTCCAGAGGCCCCTGATCCAGAGATCAGCTCGATGTGTCTCCACATTTTCAGTACGGGGTCCGCGCAGATGTCGACCCTTTCCCCGGGATCGGTCTTGCATCCTGGGTAGTTTTTCGACGGTCCCGGGGCCCGGCGAGGGTTCCGACTTGCCCTTGTGAGCATTCTATATTTGGCGTTTCTACATTGGGCGGCAGGGGGGGAGAGGGGGGGGGTCTGGCTCCGGACTTCTGTTCAGCGCGACTGTTTGCAAAGTGCGGCCTCTGGGGGGAGACTCCACTCGCTCGAAACAGGCGCCCCAAACATGATGGACCCACGAACCCGGAAAAGGATATAGAACCGCATGCATGGAAACGTTTTCACGACACCGGGCGACGGGCACTTCCACGAGACACCCCGCGAAACATTCCACGAGACACGGGCGACCGTTTTCAACGTTTTCCTGGAAACATTCCACGAGACACCCCGCGAAACGGTCCACGAGACACCCCACGAAACATTCCACGACGACAGGCAACCACTCAACCAAGGCGGTGTGGTCGTGCTGGGGAGTGGTCTGGGGTGTGGTCGTGCTGGGGGGTGGTCGTGCGGACCGCCTCGACCTCGATATCGAACACACGAAAGAGTGGCCCGCACCCTGTGATTGATCGATCGGGATTTCAAAAACAAGCGTTTTGCCTGAGACATCCTCAAATTTTAATCCGCTGGCCCACCTCGACCTCGATTAAAAGAGAACCCTGGGCCTACGCCCTTTCCAGGAAAAACAGCCAGGATCCACTCCATAAGTGGGAGGGAGGGGGGGGTGCGAGGGCCCGCGCTGATCGGCAAAACAAGGAATACACGTTGTTCATTTCTAATCGTGCTCATTTCTAACTGTGCTCGTTTCTAATTGTTCCTGGCCCCCTAGTGGCCAGGAGTAGGCCCAGGACAGAACAGTTTGAAATGAAAGGCTCTCGGCCCCCCAAAACAATCAAGGAACTTCCGAAGAATCAGACATGAGCAAGGAGTAACAAAAACGATCACCTTGCCCCAGGCCCCAGGCCTGCCCCCAGAGATCCGATGTCGTGTCTTTTTCAATGCGGCGTCCCCGAAAGCCTCGACCCCTTCCCCAGGACCGGTTATTCATCCCGAGTCGTCTTTTGACGATCCCGCGGCCCGGCGAGGGCCCCCAGAAACGGGAAAAAACGCCGTCTTGATTTTTTCAATACGTTGGATCTCTGGGCCTGGGTCGGGCGTTGGCAGAACTGGGTTTAGTGGAACCTGGCTGAGTGATTTGTACCGGGGGCGCCCCCCCGCCCCATTTCCACTGACCGGAACTGCCGTCACCCCAAAAAACACCGGTTACGGCAAGCCTGGTTTAGTGAATCTGGCCAATTGTCGGCTACACGCAAGAGTGACCCTGGGTAAGAGTGACCTTTGGTGCGCGGCTTCTTGGGGGTCGCGGGGGGGCCAAACCTGGGCGCGCGAGCCACTGCTCCTGCTTCGTTTCCAGCCATCTGGGGACCCGTCTGTGCCCGCACCAAAGGTCACTCCGGCGAAAGGTCACTCTTACGTCTAGTCGGAATTGAGGGGCCCCCGGGCCCTACCACCAGCCGGGTCCCCTTCCCCGGGGCCCTGGCTATAATTACGGCAAGTTCGTGTCGTGCCGACCCCAGCGTTGGTTTTTGACACCGCAGGGATCGTTCAACCTTGAACGATCGGCCGCTGCCGCAACGTCCGATCGTTCAACATCGATCGATTCTGGGTCGCCGGCGGCGTTCAACCTTGAACGCTCGCGCTGGGGTCGCCGCTGGTCGACACGACGCAAACCTACCGTACCCGGCTGGGGGGGGGGCGCCGGGCCAGGCTGCACCTCCTCTCTCTCCGGAGCATTTTCTTAGGGCGGAAGGCTCAGGGTGAAGTCCATATGGGCTTATGCGCCTCGAAAACCAGTCCGTCTTGTGCTTCACCCTTTGCAGATTCAAGCCTCGAACATCCATCGAAACGGCATTTCGGATTTCACCCTTTGCCCTCCACCCTAAGAAAATGCTCGGCTCTCGGGGGGGGGAAGCCTGCGCAGGGCACGGCCCTGCGAGGCTCCCTGCACGCCGCGTCCCCCGGGGAGGCTCCGCGGCGCGTCCTCCCGGCAGGTCCCCCTGTCAGACAGCTCTGGGGCAGCTACGATGTTAGGAAGCTTCGTCGGAAAGATGAAGGAAAATTGAGCCCCATTGCGGGGCTATTACGCCAGAAAGTGCCTCGGATTAAGCGGGATTAAGCCGGATTAACAAGGATTGAGCCGGATTAGGCGGGATTAAGCCGGACTTCGGACCAGGGCAAAATCGGAATTTTACCTCCCAGGAGTTGCATCCGAAACTATGTGCTCAGGCAGCTCGAGCTTCAGATCTAGATCAGTTCGGTCAGGATTCGGATGCAAAGGAGGAATCGATCCACAACGCTATAAAGCACAACCGCGGCATGGCGGGTGAGGACGGAAGGGGGCGGGAGACAGGGGGGGGGGGGGGGGCGAGGATCGAGATGTTTGTTGGTGCATCCCTGGCAATATGTTGTCCCTCTTGTGCCTTGGTCTTGTGCCTTGCGTAGGAAGGGGAGGGGATGGAAGGAGGGGAGCGGGAGGGAGATCCGATATGTTCGAGGTCTTTTGTTAAGTTTGTTGCATCATTTCCTGCGCGTCCTCAAGGGTCGAGTTGTGAGGGCGGAATTCCGATAGAGGCAGAACATGATCGACCCACGAATCCAGGAGGGAATTCAGAATTGCGAGGGCATGGCAACGTTTTCAAGACACCTGATTGGGCGACAGGCAATTGCAGTGCTGAAAACATCGGTCGTGATGTACCGTGCCAAGGATTGTGCTGTGCTGTGCCGTGCCGAAATGACATGTGCCATACCGCAATGACTTTCGTTGTGCTCTATAGTGTCGTGGATGAAGTCGCCCTTGCCATCCGAATCCTGACCGGACTGATATGGATCTTAAGGCCGAGCTGCCTGAACGCATAGCTGGCCCAGAACTGGTTGCAGTCGAAACGTGTAGGACGCCCAGTCAGCTCGAGCTCAAGATCCGACTCAAATCCGAAGCGGGACGAGACGACACGGGGCGCAGGGCGCATCGACGCGACACGAATGTGCCAGGGGCGCACTAGGGGATGCGCCAAGGGACGCGTCAGGGGACGAGCCAGGAGACGCGCCGAGGGAGGAGGGGCACACGCCGTCCCGCTCTGGAGCGTTAGGAAACCATGTGTGGTAACGCTGGTCCGGCTCTGGGGCGTTAGAAGGGCGGACATCGAACGCATCGTCGTGAAAATACGGGGTTCCAGCTCGGGGCAATCATGTTAGGTACCGCCCTGGGTGGTCTGATCAAGTAGTTCCAGCTCGGGGCAACCATGCTAGATATCGCCCTGGGTGGCCTGAACACGTAAACACACGCGGCTTCAGCTCGGGACCACCATGTTAGATGTCCACCTGGGTGGCCTGGGCACGTGAAAACACGTGGCTCCAGCTCGGAACCACCATGAAAGGTACCCCATGGGGAAATTTGTGAAATCGCCAGAAGCTGTATCATATGATCGCACATCTGACGCCGATGTATTTATTTTGTCTGGCTCTTGTGTGGGTGCTCACGCTGGGGGCGCCCATGCGACCACATGTTATCTACATCTCCTTCCGGTGGCCCACACACGTAACAACTCAACAACTCGTGGTTCCTGCTCGGGGCAAACATGTTAGATACCCCATGGGTGGCCCAGACACGTGAAAACATATGGTTCCAGCTCGCGGCCACCTTGTCAGATGCCCCTCCGGGTGGCCTGGACACGGGAAAACGCGCGGTGGCTCCGTATCTAACATGCGATCGTCTGGGGCGCAGGAAGGCCCAGGAACGCCTGGAGGCGCCCAGAAGCAAAACAAATCAACGAATCGACACCAGATACAGGTAAACTTTCGGCGTCCCATTCCTGGCCTCAGGAAGGCCCCAGAAGGCCATGCTAGATACCCTCCTGGGTGGCCAGGACACGCAAAGACACGCAATTCCAGCGCAGGGCCACCATCTTTGATACGCCCCTGGGTGGCCCGGACACCTGAAAACACTTGGTTCCAGCGCGGGACCACCATGATAAATACCTCCATGGGTGGCCTGGACATTTAAAAACATCACATGGCTCCAGCTCGGGACCACCAAGTTAGATGCTTCCTGTGGGTGGCTTGGACATCTGAAAACACGTCGTTCCAGCCCACCCCAGGGGGGAGGGCATCTGACATGCGGCCGTCTGGGGCGCAGGACGGCACAGGAAGCCATGCCCCTCGCCTCCAGGAGCTGCCCCTGGAACGCGTCGCTGTTTCAGCACCCGGACCTCTGCGCCAACGTTGTGTCCTGGAACGCTGGGCACCGGGCGGGGCGCCACCGACCCTGGGGCTGCGGGGGCCGGGGTCGTTCGCATCGCCTCCCTCCGCCAAGGCCGCCCGCGTCGCCACCCGATGGACGCCCGCGCGCGCGACGAGCCCCCCTCGTCGTCGCAAGCGAACGGCGGGTCGTGCATGCTCGCGCCGGTGAAATTCTCCCTGGCCCCTTCGGAGACAGCCGGGGCTGCCGCGACGCAGAGGTGGGCCTCCGCCTCCTCCCCCTCCTGCCGCCTCGACCCCGCAGCGGTGGCGCCGCTCGCCGCGGCTGTGCTGGTCTGTCTTGCTGGCCCGCATTCTCGAGGACCACCCCGCCTGCCTTGGGCCAGCTCCTGCACAGCTCGCCCCGCCGTCTTCGGCGTGGCGCCCGCGCCGCGCGGGCCCTCGTTGCTCGCGCGG